CATATTATATAAAAAGTCAAAAAATGCACTTATTTATAATATCCCAAACAACTCCTAAATAGTAGAAGGTCAAAATGGTCATTTCGCCACCTAATTCCATATCCCCTTATCCCTCCATTTGTGTCTCACCCCCTCCATGGGACACAATAGTCCAACATATTTGGGACTAATAGTCCGGAACAATAATTTTGAACCAAACAATGGATTATTAGTCCAGAGGGACTACTAATCCAATCCCATGTCTCAATCCCTCAAAACAAACACCACCAAAAGGTATTAAATTCCATTCCATAGCAGTTGAATCTATAATTATACATCACAAAATGATACTACACAATTACAAGACCAAAGGCCTGGTTAATATGAACATATCCATGTTACTCCCTAGGTATTTTATATTAGGGTAAATCACACTCACCTCCCTTGAAATTTGAAAAAAATACTATTAACCTCCCACTTTTGATATAATTACAATGGCATTCCTTGAAGTTTTAATTCAAATAATATTTTTTCATCAGTAATTTGCTAGTTGTATAAATGAAAAAATGAGAGTGATTTATTTTTAACTAAAATGTATATTTATCTTTATTTATAAATCAGTATAATTATATCAAAAGTATAAGACTAATTACATTTTATTCAAATTTTCAAGGGAGGTGAGTGTAATTTACCCTTTACATTATTGTTTCCTAAATCTCTACTTCCAGATATGATAAATGGGTTTCTTCTCTTAATTAATTAGGTTTTGACAGAAACTATCATATATCATATATCATATCTATATAAGCAAATTACCAAGTCCCTATACATTGGCCCTTGTATTATTTTAGTTCTTATAATTTTAATTGGTTCAATTTTGATCATGAATTTAAGATTTTTAAAGTTATTCAATTTAGTGAGTTAACCTCAATCAACTTAGTAATTATTTTCTTTCAAAAACCATAATCGACGTTATCAATTGGATCAAAATAATATAAAATCTAAAATTAAGAGTAAAATTAAATTAATTAAAATAATAAAAATCAAATCAAAATAATATAAAGTATAAAATATAGAAACTATAAATATAATTTGTCCAATATTTATACAATTCTACAACCTTAGGTCATCTGTAGGAAGGACCATCTGCACATGCAAAATTTGCATGGATCATGGAGGCTTGGGATCTAGCTAGCCTAAAAGTCATACCTATACCTATCACATAGATTAGTCATAGTTTGACATTTACATGCAAGCATTGGGGGAAAAAACATTAAATTAAAAAGAAAATTATTAAAAATAGCTTTTTAGATTACCGCTAGGTCATGGTTGTTTACCGGCGCGTGGGGCAAGAGGTTCGAGTGTTATGGTTGTGAGTCTCACCTATAACTTGTTTGGTGATGATTTGATAAGACACAGTAATAATCTGATGGGCTTAATAATCTTAACTTAATTGGATTTTGGGTAATTAAAAAAATAATAAGTGAAGTTTATTTTATATAATTTTTTTTTTACTAAGTATATCTGTTTATTTTAATATTTGTTTTAATTTTTTTTTAATATAGAAATTATTTTTTATTTATTTTGTTTAAAAATAATTTAACAATCTCATCACTAATCATTTCTCACACTATCATCATAACAAACACACTTTTACTCAATGTCCTCACTAACAATCCCTATATTAACAATTTCTTCATTAACAATCTCATCCAACCTAAACCACCAAACAAACGTAACCTTAGTGTTTAAAAAATATATACAAAAGTATATTACATTCTGTTTGGATCGTGAGGGGATGTGAGAAAAAAATGATTGCGATTTCTCGCTTAGGTGAGAAAAGAATAAATAATTATGATTTCTCACTATTATATTTGGATGAGTAAAAGATAAAAAAAAATGTGGATAGAATTAAGTAAGAAAAAAGAAAAGAAAGTGTTTTATTTCATTTTACTAAAATAACATTTCATATTAATAAGTTATATTTTTTCATATGGGTAGTTTTGATATTTTTAAACAAGTTTCATTAAACTCAATTCTTTTCTCACTAAATCTCATCATTTTTGGTGAAAAACAAAACATAAGTTTGGTAAAAGTTCATTTCTCAATATTATTTAACCATCCAAACAAGTGAAAGGTTTTCAATTCTTATCATTTCTTTTCTTTTCTTTCCTCACCAAACCCCTTCATCCAAACAGAGTGTTAAAGTGTATTAAAATGTGTAAAAAAAAATATAAATATTTGAAAATATATTAAAATTATAACTATTTTAACATTTTATAATGCTTGTGAACAACCCTTAAAACTACCATTAGCAAGATTCATAAAAATTAAAAATAAATAATAGAAACCGTGAAACTAATTAGTGTAGATGGTTGAATTTTATTAGGTTTACCAACAATTATCGATATGGGGGGTGGCTGCAGCCTGCACCTCAAAATTTTTAAATGTCTCCAATATTATATTAGTATGAGATAATTTTAAATTAAAATGATATTTCACGCTGGCAAAAAATAGGATTTTGCTCTCTAAACTTGTAGAGACTCATACTTCCAAATTAATTATATAACAAAAAAATTTAAATAATTTTCTATTTGAGTTTTATCAAATATTAATTCTTTTGTATTTTTTTTTTTATATTCAAATTGTTTATGTTCTTTTTGTCATTGTTTATTACCATTCTTCCTTTTTTATATATCACATTCTAATTTATTTGTCTCTTATTTTGCACCCATTCTTGTTTGCTCATCCTTTGGAAACGAAAATATTGTCTCCGTCTAACATGACATTCTTAAAAATGAGTTCATGAAATTTGATAACATTCTTAAAAATGAGTTCATGAAATTTGATAACGCTTGATAAAACAAGTTATCTTTCTTACGTTAATTTTACTTTCTTCAACAATGCATAAAAATGATCAATTTTAATAATGAAATTTGTCAAGACAAAACTGTGTAATAAAATGAAAGATGTCTTAGCAAGTTATTTAATGGGCTTATTTGCAGCTTCTAACAAGCCAAAAATTGTTAATCAAAAAACAAATATTAAAAGTATCTCTTCTTGGCTTTTCAATTTTTGTACTCAACTATGTTGACTAGGGGTGTGCCCGGTGCGGGTCGGACGGTTTGAGAGTAGATTTACAAACCGAATGGCGGATTGGCAGATTAACGGATTGGCAAATTGCGGTTTGGACAGTTTTTGACGGATTGGCGGATTGAAGAATATTCTAACTAATTATCATACATTTACATAATATATAACACTAATTTGTATAATATTTTTTAAATATATAACACAAAGTAATTTTACATAATATGTTTCATATATATAGCCACTAATTTATAATAAATTTCATTTCTTAAGTCTCTCTCACACTCATTTTTACATTGATATTTCATTGAAGGTTAAAAAATATATATGTATTAACTATAGCGGAACGAAACGGTTCGGTTCGGTTAGCGGATTATAAATTTTAAAGTTTAAACCGCGATTAGCGATTAAAACGGTGCGAATTGGTGCGGTTTTAACGGATTGAGCGGTATTTTGCATAGACAAAAAATATTTAGTTAATAGTAATATTGTTCATTAATTATGTTAGCAGAAATCATTATTGTACATTAAACTTTTATAACTTTTTCCGATTTTGAGTTATATGTATTTCCACCCCAAGTTAACCAACGGTCACATGTACATGTAGATTTATCATGTATATGAAAATATTTGAGTATTTCCATATATATTTAGTTTCAATTCAATTGTTTAACTCCAATGTCAAAACTAAATATTATTTATTTATTAATTTTGTTCACTAGATTGACTCTAAAATAATAAATGAAAATATAAAATGTCATATTATCTCAAATATAAAACAAAAAGTTTAAATAGACCCCAAAATCAAATTAAATATTTACTTTTTATTCTAATTTGTAAAGTTATATAAAAGATTGAACTAGATTCATATAAAAAAATAGCCATGCCGTGTTAACGTGTTCATGTCTAATATGAACATCTGAGATTCTTATTTTCCCCTTACTTTTTCTTCTTCTTTCACTTTCATCCAATTTTTTTCCCTTCTTTTTTCAAAGTTAAACCTGCTTTTTTCCCTTACTTTTTTTTTTTTTCCCCTTTGTCCTTTTACTTTCTCTGAGTGCATAACTTTTCAAGCTGACATCCTCTCATCAGTTTAGTCACCGATCAACGAAATCTAGCTACTAAAACAAGACCAAGTTACAATTGACCAAAATAAGGTCTTTAGGTGTCATTGTGTTCATATTGGTTCAATATCTTATAAATGTATTTGAAATTCTAGAACTTAAGACCAAATATTTTTATTTAAAAAATAAATAGAAGTTGACTGTTCTATATCCATATGCAATCAATCATCTAACTGAAAGCGACCTCTGGCAAGTTTGTAAAACTTGATACAGAGATTTCTAGATTGTCAAACAGGGACAAAGTCAGACAATGTTCGCGTGAATAGTTGACGATACTCTATCCTCAACCGAACCAGTTGTTAAATATTATGAACCAACTCCTTGACTTATCCAACTACAGATCACAATAACCCGTTTGGCACCGTTTTCATTTTTAGCGACGATTTATTATGATTTATTTTTAATAAGACTTGATAATAATTAAGTCCAATTATTATGACCTATTGATAGTTTACCCTTCAACCGGTATTTATTACACGTCTTTATTGTCCTGCTAAGTTTCTATATCCATATTTGCATGTTAATGTGACAGTCATGCTTTCTAGAGGAAGAAAACTGAAGTTTCTGGTAGTTTGTGTTAGTCATACTTTTCTAGATGAAGACAAAGTAAAAGAAGTCTCTATTAGTTTAGTTGGGCTGTCAGGTTACCTTCTAGTGCACAAATATGACATAAGGGTGACCTACCATTTAGCAATGATGTATTTTGAAGTATTAGGTTATATTAGCAGAGACATGTTTTATGTAATGAGTCTTGATCTCTACTCTACATAGAAATTCATTCTCTATCCTATTATGACTTCTGAAAAGTTCAAGAATTTAGTTTTCGAGTCAAAGAGACAGATCTAGGGTTATCAAAGGAGTTAAGAATCAAGCATATGAACCGTATGGAAAAGAAAAGAACCGGTATATGGTTTCATGTCTTAAAAGAACAACAAAAAAAATAAAGCTACGAAATGAAAAAGCAATTCCTTTTTCATAGAAAAGAACTGGTATGTGATTTTATGTCTTAAAAGAAGAAGAGGAAACAGAAGTACCAATCGCATGAATCACTTCCACAGCTTCCGCAAGGACATGTTTTTCTCAGTGTCCTTCTTCATCACCTTAGCCACAGCCATTTCAAAATCTTCCTGCGTTACATGAACCCTCCTCTCCCTCAGTGCAAACATACCAGCTTCAGTGCAAACCGCCTACAGATAAGGATTTGAAAGTTTAATAAAATATAGGCATGGTAATAATTGACAAAACAAAAATAAAGAGAAGCAAAAAACAATTAAAAAGCAAAGAATTCCTAAACATGGAAATGAATTGGAGGGGCGAATCTAAAGCTATGAGAAAAAAATGGATTCAAAAGGGAACAGACCTTTAGTTCTGCACCAGATGCACCATTCATCTTCTCTGCTATCTTCTTCAAATCAATCCCACGCATTAAGTTCATTTTTCTTGAGTGAATTTTCAAGATATCGAAACGGGACTGCAAGTAATAAAGAATACAAAAACAAACAAGCATATCAACTGGAGCTGATAAACAACTAACTCAAAAAAGAATAATGAAAAAAGGATATGAAATCAATCTCACGAATTAATTTTATTTTTCTGGAGTTCTAGAATGCAATTTTTAAGGCATCCAAACAGAACTACAGATAACAAAGAATATATTAAAACAAAAAGGGCATATTATCATAGCGGTGAAAAGCAACAGACTCAAAAAGAAAAAGAAAAAACGTACAGAAAGATGGGTACAAGTGCAATAACATAAAAGTGAAACACGTATTTGGAATGGAGAGACTTCTACAAGGCTACAACCACTTCACTCATGGTCATGCAAAAATTGTCCAAGGGATGCAAACTATAGGACTAATATCCTCCTTGCCATCTGAGATAAATAGCTGAGAGAGATTCCATGTAGAAGTGCAATTCAGTAACAAAACAAATCAGAATCAGTCTAAAAGTCACGAAACTGTCCATATCACAATAAGACTGAACTGAGAATCTTATTAAGCAGCCATATGCCAACTTTCAATCATAGAGCAGATTCTTAAATAACATAAAAACATAAGAAAATAATTATAGGATCTTGTTAATGTGTGCCCTAAGGGCACGTGTTAAGAAGCTTCAAATGTTTGTACAATTTTTATTGCACACACTTTTATGCAGGATGTACAAGCATTTTAAACTTCTTGACATGGGGCACAAGTTTAAAATAAAAAAAAATCCATAATCATAAAGTAAAAGAAACGAAGATGAAAACGTGGTTATAGATATAGCAGCTTCTCCAGTTACAAATTGCTTGTACATGAGAAAGAGATAAATATGTAGGTCTTAGATTCAACTGAATATAAGAACCCAACTCCCAAGAACAACGAGGCACGATAGTTCGACTTGGAAAATAATAAGTAGAGACAAATACCAAGAGTAGATTTGGTAAAAATGTGGAAGGAGTTCAATAACGTTAATGGGTTGATTTTATTTTATTTTTTCATTTCAATTTTTTGTCGAAACCATCATTGATAAGCTTAGACATTCAGTACCATTGATGGAAATGAAAGTATTCTATCTCTTGATTTCATTTGGGAATACGACAAATATTATGTGTTAGACTTACCTAGGATGTTTCCTGTGAGGAAGCGTCAGACCCTCTTCCTTGGTTGTCGGTCCTTTGAGTTCCAAGAGGAAACGGCGGATTAGGTTGGGCATCAGAGGTTGGGTATTGTGGAGCATGGCTCAGGTCTACGGCGAGAAGTGATTTTGGTGGGTTTTGAAGAGAGTTGGGTCGTTAATAAACTGTGGTTGGCGTCGGCCAAGCTAGGGTCACGATCTTTTTGGGTCGTTTGGACGGCAAGCGGCGGAGTGTGGTGATTTGGATTCGTGGCGAGAAGGGTGGTGGGCAGTCATTTCAAATTGTGGTTACGATCGAAGGTAGAAGGCATCAGGTCTTTCTCCCAGTGTCAGAGTTTGGGGATGGCTAGGAGGGTGTGGCGTTGGTTATTGAGGGCTTTGCCAACGAAGAGAGCTGGGTTGCGAAGGCTGGCCAAGGGACAAGGGTATTGGTGGCGAAGAAGACTGCTTTGTCAAATATGGCCAATATGGGTAAGCCGATTCAGATTGTGGCTAAGGAGGGGTGGTTTGGCTTGCTGAATAGGGCTTTGGTGGGTAAAGTGGGTGTGATTAGGGATCTAGGGGTGGGATTTTCAATTATAACGAAGTGGGTCGGTCGATTGTGGAGATTTTCAAGAAAGGTGGAGATCCGGCCAGCTGGGGGTCAACACTTTCTCTTCGTGTTCTCTTCATGACGGGCAGCTAAGAACACCGAAACAAACAAGACACAGAGAAAGTGTTGACCCCTGTGAACACCACTTTCTCTTGTTTGTTTCGGTGCATTGAAGATGATTTTCGATAAGTGTTCACAAGGGTCTATGGTCCAATTCAAGGTAGGGAGAGGTGGGCTTTTTGAGAGGAGTTACAGGATGTTGCTTTTCGATGGGGCTTACCTTGGTGTGTTGGGGGGGGATTTTAGCGTTGTGAGAAGCCCAGAGGAAATGTCGGGGAGGAGGGGGAGGGGGTTCAAATGGTGAGGGCTATGAGGGAATTTGCCTCTTTCATTGATGAGTTGGAGCTGGTTGATTTGCCCCTACGAGAGGGAGGCTATACCTGGTCTAGTCGAAACAAACAAGACACAGAGAAAATGTTGACCCCTGTGAACACCACTTTCTCTTGTTTGTTTCGGTGCATTGAAGATGATTTTCGATAGGTGTTCACAGGGGTCTATGGTCCAATTCAAGGTAGGGAGTGGTGGGCTTTTTGGGAGGAGTTACAGGATGTTGCTTTTCGATGGGGCTTACCTTGGTGTGTTGGGGGGGGATTTTAGCGTTGTGAGAAGCCCAGAGGAAATGTCGGGGAGGAGGGGGAGGGGGTTCAAATGGTGAGGGCTATGAGGGAATTTGCCTCTTTCATTGATGAGTTGGAGCTGGTTGATTTGCCCCTACGAGAGGGAGGCTATACCTAGTCTAGTGGCCGTGCAAGTTCTCAAATTGATAGATTCCTTGTTTCTGGAGACTGGGAGGAGCACTTCTCTCAGATGATTCTGATGAGGTTGCCTCTATCATTGATGTCATCGAACAAAGCGGAGATCAGGGAAGGTATTGTGGGGTTCTATCAGCATCTTTTTTCATAATGAGGGAGATGTGTGGAGGCCAGGGTTGGACGGTGTTGTTTTTGATTCTGTCTCCGAAGGAATTTGCAAATGGTGAGGGCTATGAGGGAATTTACCTCTTTCATTGATGAGATGGAGCTGGTTGATTTGCCCCTACAAGGGGGAGGCTATACCTAGTCTAGTGGATGTGCGAGTTTTCGAATTGATAGATTCCTTGTTTCTGGAGACTAAGAGGAGCACTTCTCTCAGATGATTCAAATGAGGTTGCCTCTATCATTGATGTTATTGAACGAAGCAGAGATCAGGGAAGGTATTGTGGGGTTCTATCAGCATCTTTTTCATGATGAGGGAGATGTGTAGAGGCCAGGGTTGGACGGTGTTGTTTTTTATTGTGTCTCCGACACAGGTTTTGTCACTAGAACAACCATTTTCTGAGGAGGTTTTGGGTGCACTGAGTATGGCGGGGGGTAAGGCGCCGGGTCCGAATGGTTTTTCTATTGGTTTTTTTCAGCACTGTTGGGGGTGGTGAAAGAGGAGGTGCTGACAGTATTCGAGCAATTTCTTCAGACAGGACAGTTTGAGAGGAGTCTGAATTCCACTTTCATAGCTTTGATTCCTAAGAAGGGAGGGGCGGAGGATATCAGCAACTTTCAACCTATTAATCTTTTGGGAAGTGTCAATAAATTATTGGCCAAAGTTCTGGCCAATAGACTTCGGGGTGTGTTGGAGGGGGTGGTGTCAAAGTCGCAAAATGCTTTTGTAGGCGGTTGTCAGATTTTGGATGCTGCTCTTGTGGCTAATGAGTGTGTATTCGCGGTTGTGTCAGGGTAAGGAGGGGATAATTTGTAAGTTGGATATTGAGAAGGCATATGACAATGTCAATTGGTTGTTTTTGTTATATGTGTTGAAAAGGATAGGTTTTGGGAAGTGGTGGAGGTAAATTCATTTTTGTATTTCGATTGTTTGCATGTCAGTATTGGTTAATGGGACACCGACCGGTTTTTTCCCCACATGGAGAGGTTTACGACAGGATGATCCTATGTCCCCTTTACTGTTCATTCTGGTTATGGAAGTGCTAAGTTGTCTGTTGTCCAAGGCAGTTCAAGGGGGTTTGTTGTCGAGTTTTGCAGTGGGGGACGAGCCTGCTTCTTTGGCGGTTTCTCATCTTTTCTATGCTGATGATGCGCTTGTTTTTAGTGATGCGGATGCTATTCAGATTGGTCATTTGTGGTGTGTGCTGTTATGCTTTGAGACGGCGTTTGGCCTTCAGGTAAATTTGACTAAATCGGAACCGATCCCGGTAGGAGAGGTGGCATGTCTTCCAGTGTTGGCAGTTGTTTTGGGTTGTAAGGTGGTTATGTTACCAATGTCTTATTTGGGACTTCTTTTGGGGGCTACTTTTAAGGAAACAAGAGTATGGGATGTGGTGGTGGATAGATTGCATCGTTGGTTGGCGAGATGGAAGTGGCAATATTTGTCCACAGAGGGAAGGCTTACTCTGATCAAGAGTGTTCTTTCTAGTATCCCGACGTATTTTATGTCTTTACATGTCATGCCTATGGCGGTGGCAAGGCGATTAGAAAAGCTTCAACGGGATTTTTTGTGGATTGGATGTGGGGAGGTTTTCCATTACCATTTGGTGGATTAGGAGAGGGTGTGTACTCCTAAGGAGCAGAGAGGTTTGGAGGTGAGGAGACTAGGGGTGTTCAATCGGGTCAATCGGGCTCTTTTAGGAAAGTGGTTGCGGCGGTTTGCAGAGGAGAGAGAACAGTTATGGAGGAGGGTGGTGGTGGCTAAACATGGGGAGGAGAGGGGGGGTTGGTGTTTGAAAAAGGTGGTACACTCTCATGGGCGTGATTTATGGAAGGGGATTTGGTTGGGAAGAAGGGATTCTTGGGGTAGGGTTCGGTTCAAGTGGGGGTGGGGGATCGGATTCGGTTCTGGCAAGATTGGTGGTGTGGTGAGTTGTCTTTGGCAGGCATGTTTCCCCTGCTTTATGCTATTGTGGCGGATAGGAAGGAGTTGGTTGCCTCGGTTAGGGTGAGGCAAGGGACTTCAATTGTATGGAATGCTCATCTTCATCGTGAGGTGCAGGATTGGGAATTGAACTAGTTAGTGGATTTACTGGGCTTCCCGTATGGGCTGCAGTATGGGGGTAAGGGGATGGATTCTTTGATTTGGGAGGCTCAGAAGTCTAAGGGTATATTTACTGTGTCATCATTTTATGGGGTGCTTGTGGGGAGCGATACAATTATGCTTCCTTGGAAGACTATTTGGGTGACGAGTTCGCCTTCCAAGGTGACGTTTTTTGTTTGGACGACTGTTTTGGGACGTATCCTTACTGTTGATAACTTGATTCAGCGACACCATGTGATTGTTAATTGGTGTTGTATGTGTTGTAGGGATGCAGAAACAGTGGATCATTTGTTGGTTCATTGCCCTGTTGTGTATCGGCTTTGGAGTTTGATTGTGGCTCTTTTTGGTGTGGTTTGGGTGCAGCCAGGGTCTTTGCGGGCAGTTTTGTTTAGCTAGGGTGGCGCAAGGGTGGGTAAGAGGTGTCGGAAGGTTTGGTTACTTGGTGCCCATTGTTTGTTATGGTTGGTGTGGTTGGAGCATAATCATCGTATTTTTTGGAATTTAATAAGTCATTCTATTCTTTGGCTAAAAAATAAGCTTCTTATGGTGCTGCATAGTTGGGTTACTGGTGTGGCTGATCCTGAAGTTTTTATTTTTGTACAGTTTGTGGAGGATTTGATTAGTTAGCTTTTGCGGTCTGGTGTGGCTTGGTATTTTCTTGTATTATTTGCATTGCCTTGATATTTTTTTAATAAAGTTTGTTTACTTATCAAAAAAAAAGAAAAACATTAATGGGTTGACTTCTGGAATATACGGGAAATCAGACAAAATAAGAAATGTTGATGGATGCCCCAAGTTTAAAGGCCAAATTCGTGTATCCTGTAATCTTGCTTCACTAGAAGCTTTTCTCAACTAAATAGCATTTGTTAACAGCTAAAAACTTCTTTCCCAAAACATTTCATCATTAGAGACTATTTCCCAGCATAATATTCCTCTTAATATGCAAAGGGAAAATAGAACCAGGATCAAAAATTAAATTTTATTGCATAACGACATAGATACAAAGTATGATGAATAAAATATACCTCTTCATTGGGATTTGGGAACTCTATCTTCCTGTCAATCCTTCCAGGCCTCAGAAGTGCTTGATCCAGAATGTCAATGCGATTTGTAGCCATCAAAACCTGTGAAAAAGAGTTATCTTGTTATCAAATTATTGTAATTTTGTATACAGAGACAAGTTTCTAATTTTAATAAATCAGTACACCAACAATTTCACCAACACAGACAATGAAACAAGAAATCAGTACTTTGATTTTGTTAGATGCTTCGAATCCATCCAGTTGATTAAGAAGCTCCAGCATCGTCCGCTGCACTTCACTATCACCATTACCAGATCCAGATTCCATTCGAGCAGATCCAATGCTGTCGATTTCATCCATAAAGATGATTGATGGAGCATGCTCCCTGTGCAACATAAACAAAAAGAAATCACACATAAAACATGAGGAACTATATACCACTTTGTGTAGACTACAAAGATTTATTAACCTGATATACAAGATATTACAATTTTTTGGCAATAACAATGTTATCAATGAAGTCAGACAAACCTGGCCATAACAAAAAGTTCTCTAACCATTCGAGAGCCCTCACCAATATACTTCTGAACCAACTCAGAGCCAGAAACCCTTATAAAGGTACAATCAGTATGATGAGCCACTGCTCTCGCTAACAGTGTTTTCCCAGTACCAGGTGGCCCATACAGCAAAACTCCCTATTCATTAAAAGAAAATTAACTGTTATTTCCTGCATTAAACTACCCAGTCATGATTCAAGACTAGTTGAATAAACTGAGAATCATTACAAGGATAGTGGAAATGTAATGATTGATGGATTTAAAAAACAAAAATAAAAAAGTTAAGCTTTTCATTCCCTAAAATTTGACATTTTAACATTCATTTTTTCTACCCAAAAAAAAAAAATTTTACGTAAAATATAATTGTCAGGTATAAGTGGCTACAAGACACATGCTGAAAAGTCGGGCCAAATATAAATGAATTCTGAAAATATTTAAATTCAAAAAAGTTGGCATTAAATCATTTATTTCAAAACTTTGCTAATCTCGGCAAATATTTGCCAAAATTAATCTTATAATAATGATAAAAAGAAAATTCACCTTTGGTTGGGCTATTCCAAGACTCTCAAATAGTTCCGGATGCTTGATTGGCAACTCAATGACCTGAAAAAAAAATAATAATAAAATAAGACAATAAAAGGATAAATTAGTTCCAACATGTCCAACCCCTAGCCTCAAACACAACCTTGGGTCCCAATAGGGTAGGATTGGCTACATGAATCATTTTTTGCAATTCCACTCTGTCAAGGGTTGTATATTAAATTAAATATATTTATGTCTTCTTTTACTATCACATCCCAAGTCAATCTAGGTCTTACATTTCTATTTATGGTGATGATATCACTCTTCCTTATTGTTGTATCCACAAGTTTTCATTGTACATGACCAAACCATCATAACATATTCTCTCTTCATGTATCTTCAATTGGTGACTCTGACCATTTCATGAATGAATGAATGAATATATATATATATATATATGCATATTCATTTCTAATCCTGCCTTTCCTAGTCACATCCATCTAATCATCTTCATCTTAGCATCGAGCAAAAATTAATGACCACTGACCAAAACCAATAAGCTGCAGACCAATGGATATATAACAAAATATTCAGTACTGGAACCAATAAAAAGAACCTCAAAGAAGACTAACCTCCTTTATCTCTTTGATTTGTTGGTCAAGACCACCAATCATGTCATATGTAGAATCTGGAACTTTTTCAACTTTCATTAGGTTTACCAAAGGATCTACTTTACTGGGCAATACCAAGTGAAGCACATAGCTGTCATTACGAAGGGCAACTCTGGTTGATGGTGTAAGTTTAGTTATATCTATGCTCTTATCGATATCAACAACGTATTTCCCTTCTGGATGAACCTGAAAAGTCAACAAAAAGATAATCAATCAACTCATTTGCAGTTGCAGGTCCATGTATCACAAACTAACATGTGGAAAAACGAATTGCACAGTTAAATAACAGGAATTATGGAACTCAGAGAAACTGCTGCTATATTCCCCCACCCCCCCAAGGAAAATAAAGAGATGGAAAATCAAGCAATTCAGTAATGAACCTACCTCCAGAACATATGGACAGCTAAACAGGTAGAGAATTTCAGACAATTTCCAAAGTGATTAAAGAATAGGAATATGATGGTAGCCAATTATAGTACCGTCAGAGGAAAAATGCTAACACATAGTCGTATTTATCTGATTTAATAGCATTAACATGCACAGGTGTTGATGGGCACTTAATTGCACAAAAAATTGTAGCTCAAACAGCAGTTGCCAAACAATAGTTACAAATCTTTTCAAATGTAATTTCATTGAACTGCTTTTAAGTTTTTAGATAAGATAACTAACTCATTATGTTGCAATATTTAAAAAATACCATAAAAACATTTTTATCATCATTTTGAAAATACAATTTAATCAAAAATTAGAATTGTGGATATGATCGCTTTTATCTAATCAAAATTAGAATCATGGATACGATCACAAACAGCAGTGTTGATAGCCTAATAATATCTTGTAAAGTTGTAACTACATAAAATCAATGTTTAAACAAAACATTATATTACATGCTACAAATACTAAAATATGCATAAGGATTTATTTAATAAACTACTTTCTCATTTTGAACTATCAATAGTGGTAAAATTGAATTTTGTTGACAAATTCTTTCACCATCACATTGAGCAGCAAATGGCACAAAACAAATCTATTTTCATTCCATACTCATATATGAGCTGATATTTTAGGGTCCCTTTATAAATCCTTTCTTACCTAATTCATGAATTGGTTTTCTAATGTACTATCTCAAATGAAATGTTAACTACGCAATCAAGGTAACACGCATGCCAAAAAAAACAGTAGTTGAGCTTAAGCCTCTCATCAACTAAAACATTGTGAAACTTCCTCAACCCAAAAATCAATCTTGTGTTGTGTATCGCAGAGCATGGTTTATACATTATTCTCTGGGCAGAAATCATGAGAAACAGCTAATTGTCCTCCGTTACTGAAATAAAATCAGTCTAAAAAGGATCATTATTATTATACATCAACAAATCTCATTCACTAATAGAACTCAAGAGACCAGTGCCTAAGATGCTTGCTGCATTCATCCACTAACTATTCCTCAAAAAATTTATCCATTAGGCATAGATACCATCACCAAATCAACACCATGCCTTTTCACACACCTCAACTGACATTTTTACTACACTTCTAAATATGCACTTGGAGTCAAATATTGTGAAAACCAAGTTGTCAAGTACAAATGTTACAACTCATTGTGCTTGTTTGGTAGAGTTTTTTTTAGCTTATTTCAGCATTTAGCTTGATTTAAGTTGTTTCGTTGTGTTTGATGTCGCTTAATAATACAGATTATAACTTTTTATAAATGAAAAATCAGCTTTTTCTTGAAGTGGCTGTAGGGGTGCTTAACAATTTAGCTTAAATGGCAAGCTGGGAAGGGAGGGACGAATACTTAAATGCCCCTCATCAACTTCAACTATTACCAAAAAACCAATATATAAACCCACAACCAAACACTGTTCACTTCTTGAGAGAGAGAGAAAGCTTGAGAGGCGATTTCCGATGGCGTGAACCAGCTCTCTCTACTGGCATGAACTAGCTCTCTCTCTCTCTCTCTCTCTCTCTCTCTCTCTCACAATCTGACAAAAGGGGCTGCCGACTATGGTTTTGCAAGTGACGATGATGACGATCTAATGCTCTCTCTCTCTCTCTCTCTCTCTCTGACAATGGGGGCTGCCAGCTAGGGTTTTCAGTGTTTTTTTGATAATAATAATAATTATTATAAAGCATTTTAAGCCATTAATGAAATAAATTTTATATTAATTGATACTAATTAATAATTTTAGTATTAATTGATACTAATTAAGCCATTAATTGATAATAAATTAAATTTAAAAAATATTAATAAATTGGTATATTTTGTAACAATTTTGTAATAATAAATTAAAAAAATATTAATTGGTATTTGTAACAATTTTTAATAAATTAAAAAAATATCAATTAATATTCATGTATTTATAAACTAAAATGAATATAATTTGAAAATTTTAATTGGTATTTCAACATTTTTCAAAATTTTCTCATGATCAATCTCACCATGCATGTTACAATATTAATTTGAAAAAATAAACTATAAACTAAAGAAAATAAAAAACTAAAGAAAAAAAATGAAAAAAAAAAAAAGAAGAAAGGGAAAAAATAAAAATAAAAAAATAAGGAAAGAAGAGAATAAAAAACAATTAAAAGAAGAGAAGAAAAAAGAAAGAAGAGAAAAGAAAATAAGGAGAAAAGGAAAAGGAAATAAAATAAAATGAAAAAAAATAAGAAAAAAATAAGAAAAAAAAAAAAGGACAAAAAGGACATTACACAGCAAAAAGCTATTTTATAGCTTATTCAACCAAACACTACTCTGCTGATTAAATGCATAATCTCACAGCTACACCAAACTAGTTAACAACTTATGTTTAAAACTATAATCTATAATCTGTTAAGCCATAATCTATGATCACTTCCCCACAACTCTACCAAACAGAGCCATTATCTCTAGAAGTAACCAACATATGAAAATTGGCCTCAAACATTATGTAACACCGTTACATTACAGTTTGATAGATACCAAAACCGATATTTCCCATCGCAGTGTGAATAAATTCTCAGAGTAGCTTCCTTAAAATAACAAGCATAACACAATAGCATCATAACTTCCTTAAGCAATGGGTGTAGCAACCATAAGGTCGTTGCGTAATGGCCCTTTACACAAGTTGTCAGCCATCAAACTTATTTAGATGCACAACAGACTGCTTTTTTTTATGTTTTGACTGGTATTATCAGTTCCTCAACGAACTTCACTGTAAACCTCCGAAAAGTGGAGTGAAGCTTAGATCTATGAGAGTCGAAGCATAAATCTATAGATATACTATACAACATGGGTCTCTTCATCTTTTTATTAAAATTTCCAAACAAAGTAAGTTTTATCATTTTTTGAATATTTCATTATTTTTTCATTGTATAAGTTATATCTATTTTTTTCACTTTTTAGGCGTCATTTGTTGAAGAAATGTTGGAATCTACACTCATTTACTCTTCCTATACCCTCATCTTGAAATAAATTGAATAGGACAATTTAAATGGTTTTTTTGGCTTTCATTTTTATTAGCATATGAAATATGAATGAAATTATAGAATATCACAATGTTTGTAGTGATTAGTATATGTGATTTACTATTAGCACATGAGAGTTACTACTAGTATAAAATATAAATTACAACGAAGTGTGAAAATAAGCATGATATATATACAAATGGATTATTCAATTAGTTTGTCAATCTTAAATGCATTGTGAATTTATGACACATGAGGATGATATGAATAGAAGTAATGCCTTTATGACACATGAGGATGATATGAATAGAATTGGAAAAAAGGTTGTAAGACATAACTAGAAATTGATGGACATTTGCAAGCTTACCTTGACTAAGACCTTTGATTTCCCCATAACTTTGACTACTTCACCAACATATGAGCCAGGCTCCTGCAGCAGTTGTAGTTCTTCTTTCAGCATCCTCACTATAATAAACCAACAGAATTATTAGCAAAAGGATCAAAACATGTTTTACAAATACAACTTGGTGCATTATTTCTTGTCAAGATGTACATTACATGATTCAACAACATGACCCCGACTAATTTGATTGGCACCGCAATTGTGTTAACAAGTAAAATCAACATTCACAATCAACCATACACCAATTCACATCCACTTCTCTATGACCCACTCACTCAACTCAACCCTTTCGTAGTCATCAATTCAACTTAATCGCAGAACTATTTTTAACCTTGGATTTTACATAATTTCAACTCAGTAGAACAAAGAAATGCAAATTTTCTTAATATTTGTAGACAAAACACAAATCAAATTGAAAGAGAAAACATTATAATAGTAATTCGACAAAATTAAGCGAGATCAACAGACATAAAAACAACAATTCTTCGAACTGCAATGCGAATAGGTAGGTACCTTTGGAATTGAGATCATTGCGCTGAGCTTCGAGGCGATTGAGATTGTGAGTCTTCTGGCGAACCTGGAGCTGAAGATCGTGTATATGTTGGAGGTAGTACTGCCTGAGGCCCTCGCCTTGCTTCGACGTCGCCATTTTGGAAGGACAAGCATCGATGGACGATGCTGGGGCTGGTTGGCTCCGCTCGATTGCTGCTGTCGCCATTGTTTGTCTGAGAGAGGAAACGAAAAACCCTAGAAATTGGGGGAAACTTTGGATCTTGATTTGGGATTTGACGTGTATGTTGCTTCAAAGCTAGGAATGGAATCGGTACTTTTTGAAACGATGTTCACCATCGTTGCTTCTAATTTTTTGAAAATACTTTTTGAATATTTTAACTCTCCGTTTGGTAGAATTTTAAATTTATATTTTGAGAATAGAGTTGTATTTTGAATTTGTGAATTTTGAAATTATAATTTGAGTGTGAAAATTTTGTTTAATTATGAGTTTTAAAAAGAGTTTGAATTGGGTGATATGACATATGATATTAAAAAGTGAATGTTTTAAAAAGTATTTTGAAAAATGAACGTGGAATTAATTTTCTAAAGTTGTGACCAAACAACACACTTGTAGAATTAAATTTTAAAAGCTAAACCAAACAGATCCCTAATTTCTTATTTTTCACATTTTTTTTATTTTTATTGATTTTTTTAATATTATAAGTAAAAAATTTTAATTTTTAGACATATCTAATATAAATACGCTTAAAAAGTATAATTTGTGAAAAATAAATCTTTAAAAAATCCATTAAATACTAAAAATATAAAAAAAAAATACATAAAAATTTAATATATTTTTCATATTTTTTGTGTATTTATTAATTTTAAAAATATTTTTTCATAAATTTTTTACTTTTTTGTTACATCTACGTAAAATGAATCTAAAAAAATAAAAAAATAAAAAGCTTAAAATTTTAAAAATATTTACTAAAAACAAAAAAAATAGGAAAAATAAAAAACTTAGGGTTCGTTTGGTTTGTATTTCTGAAAAAATTTTGGGAAATTTTCTCAACAAATAAGTTTTTAAAAGTAATCAAACCAAACAAATTTTCCCAAAAAAATTTCTCAAAACTTGTAAACTAAACAAGTTTTCCAAACAAATCTCTCTCTCACACACACATCAAATCAATCACTTTTTCCAAAACTCTCTCTCAAAATAATTTTCCAAAACATCTTTCGAAAAAAACCAAACCAAACAACTTTTCGTACTTTTTATCTCTAAAACACATCTCTCAAACACAAACCAAACATGCCCTTAGTTTTTAGAAAGAGAGATTTGATCATAGCCCCCCTCACTATTTAATTTCTCTTTCAAAAGGACAAGAACTATATAAATACTTTCAAAACCTCTTGATATTTTAAAACTTGTTTCTTTTACTATATTACCCTCATATCTATCAGCTCTCTTATTAAGACATTTTCACTATGTATTTCAGAGTAAAATTTTACTCTGTATAAAAGTAAAATTTTACTTTCATACAGAGTAAAATTTTACACTCTGAAACTAAAAGTAAAATTTTACTCTGTATAAAAGTAAAATTTTACTCTGAAAAATAAGTAAACTGTAAACAGAGCAATAGTACTCTGGTTCTATCAAATGAAATTTGATGTTTACTCTGAAAAATCGATGGAACTTTGAGCTTTGAGCTTTGAATCAGGCCTATAATCCTTGAATCAATCGATGTTTACTTTGAAAAACATTGAATCATGCCTATAATCCTTGAATCAGGCCTATAATCTGAAAATTTTAGAGAAATATCAATTTTTCATATCCCGATTCTTCAGATTTTACAGATTTTTCAGATTTTTAAAACTTTGAGCTTTCAAAAATCTATATATTCGAATTCAAATCTCAAAACACACACATATATATAAATATATATATATATATTACAAATCAGAATATGTAGATATATATATATATATTCGAATTCAAATCTCAAAACACATATATATTCGAATTCAAATCTCAAAACACACAAACACACACATATATATATATGTATGTATCAGCGCGATTTGCAAGTTCTCCACAGCTCCGGCCATGAAGGAAGCTAGGATTAGAAGAGAGAGACAAGATAGAAGATGAACAGTTGAAAGAGAGTTGAAGAAGGAGAGTTGAGAAGATGCAGAGAGAGATCGTCGGAGCTTAGGAATGACACAGCTCCGGCCATGGAGGAAGCTAGGGTTAGAAGTGAGAGACGAGAGAAAAGAAAAATTTTGTATCTTGATTGTGTATATGTGAGGGTATAATAGTCTGATAAAATATTTAAATAATAAATTTTGTCCTTTATGCAAGATTTTATAATTATGAGAGAGTTTAGAAAGTATAATTTTTTTCTTAGTCCTTCTAACAATGAAAGGAAGGTAAAGGGGGTTTATAGCCAAATTTCCCTTTTAGAAAACTAAATTCAGAAAACTAAAACCAAACATATAGATTAATTTTTATATTTTGTATTTACTTAAAATACAAATTCTAGTTTTAAAAATTATATCTTGCCTTTTAAAGAAAAAGTTTGGGTAAATTATCAATAACTTTTAATAATTGAATTTAATTCTTATCAAATCTTATTGAAAATAATTTTTAATAAAATTGTCGTTAAAAATAATTTTTTATGATGATTTTTTACATATATCGTTAAAAATTGACAATTAGTGACTATTGTTGTCATCATTTTATAAATTTTGTTAAAACTTAGGGCAAATTACATATACCCCTCGAGGTTTGGCTAAATTACAGATACTCCTGGGGTTTGAGAAATTACAAATTTCCCTCTGAATGATATAGTTGCATAACAAATTAGGGGGTAATTTGTTATGCAATACAAACCTCAAGGGGCAAATTGTTGTGAAAATACAAACCTCAGGGGGCGGGATGTAATTTCTGAAACCTCAGGGGTATCTGTAATTTAGCTAAACCTCAAGTGAGGTATATGTAATTTGCCCTAAAACTTATCATTATTGGTGTTTTTCTGTGACGAATTTTTCAAACTGCCGCTAAAAAATGAAAATTAGTAATATTTTTTTGACGAGTTTTTTAAACTGTCGCTAAACTTATAATTAGTGACATTTTTTTAACAAAATTTTCAAATTAACGTTAAAAATTAACAATTAGTAATTTTTTTAATAATGTGTGATAAAAACGCCATTAATTATTATAAGACTTATTGGACAATAGTTAATATTTATTTATTCTGTCACATCATATTCAAATGATCAAAATATCCGCACCCAAAAGATTTTGTCCTAACCCACAAATGTAAATATGGAGAGTATAACTGCAATTTTATAGGTAGCTTTTAACTGCCTTCCCAAATGATTTTGATGCCAAAAAGACTAAAATTTTGGTTTTTTTGGCAAGTTACAAAACGTAACTTTTATTTTTCTTCTCAAATGGCACCTTTATAATAAGCTCTACCGCTGGTCGTTCGTGTCTCTCTCTCTCTCTCTCTCTCTCTCTATATATATATAGTAAGCTCTACCGCTGGTCGTTCGTGTCTCTCTCTCTCTCTCTCTCTCTCTCTCTCTCTCTATATATATATATATATATATGTATATATGCACTTTATATATATATATATACATAGTTTTGTGTATATTTGTATCTGTTTGTGCTAATGGGTGTGTGTATACTGATGATGGGTTTTAATAGTTGGATGGGTTTTAATAGTTGAATGGGTTTTGTGGGTTCTTGCTTCAATTTTCTGATTTTTTGTTTTAGTTTGTAACCAATTGTGTAGACTAATTTAATATCCTATGGGTATTTAAAAAACACTATTTAATTAACCCAATGGAAAAACAAAAGTGGGGAAAATCCATATATGTGGATTGGGTCTCCATGGGTATCCATAGGGTAGGATCCCCATAGCCATCCCTAGAAAAATGAAAATAAAGAGAGATGGAATGCCTAAAAAGGAAAAAAAGATGGTAATTTTCAATATGTAAACATGATTATGAATCTACTATTTTTATTGCATAAAATAGGACTATTCAGACAATGTATGTCTATTAGCTGATGATGCAGTTCGTCCTCGGTGGATGGGTCGGGCTGGTCCAAGCTCTTTAGGTTCCGATTCAGGGCGGATGATTCCACCAGATGACCTGCAAGCAAGTCCAAAGGAGAACGAGGTAGTCCCCCAGTGAACCCTCCGGCGAGCAAATTAGTAGAGGAAGAAGGAAATATAGAGAGAGAGAGAGAGAGAGATAGAAAAGCTTAACCTTCCTCTTGTCTTCAATTCTTGCTTATATCCTTTGGTAATCATTTCACTGTCCCTTGCGACGCGCCCCCTTCCGCCGAAAGCCTGTGCCGTAGCTTACCTTGTTCAGGGTGAGGGGGCTCTGTTCCGACAAGGAGGTGTTGTCGTAATAAATGCTGTGATGGGCTGCATTAATGGTGATGTGTTGTGGCAATAACTTTGCAGATCTTTTTCTGCTGATGTGGCCTGTGTTTCACTTGCCATGTGCCCGAATGTCATTGGCCCTCCATGCCCAGATGGCCTCCAACTGTCTCGGGCTTTGCCAACTGGGTTATGCTATGGGTCCCAAGCGATGGGTTGAGGGTTGTTTGCTGTGGGCTGTAAGCTTTATGGGCCTATCCATGTCAGTAGTCCCCCATTTCTGAGTACAGCTTTAGTCCAACGAAGGGAATAGTAATAAGGTAGAGAAATGCGAACCGAGTGGAGAAACCGACCGTTAGGCGTGCTGACCGCGAGGCGTACCGACTGCAAGGGTGGCCGAGTAGGGGGAGCTGACCGTGAGGGTGGCCGAGCGGGAGGGGTCGACCGTTAGGCGTGCCGACCGCAAGGGTGGCCGAGCAGGGGGAGCTGACCGTGAGGGTGGCCGAGCGGGAGGGGTCGACCGTTAGGCGTGCCGACCGCAAGGGTGGCCGAGCTACCTGACTGCTGAAGTGTTGGAGTTGGCAGGTAATGCAAGCAAGGATTTGAAGGCGAAACATATCACGCCAAGGCATTTGCAACTAACTATACAAGGCGATGAAGAACTCGACACGTTGATCAAGGGAACCATAGCCGGTGGTGGTGTTATTCCTCACATCCACAAGTCACTCGTCAACAAATCCTCCAAGGATTAATTTTCTAATGGTCATCTATATGTGATGTTAGTCTACAGTATTGTAAGTTGTGTACATTTGTGGGTTTTATATTGGTGGATAGTTGGCCCCTTTTTTCTCTGTCTCTCTCTCGTAGTTGCAGCTGTGTACATTTGTGGATTTTGTATTGGTGGATAGTTGGTCGCTTCTTTCTCTCTCTCTCTCTCTTTGGGGAGCTGGCTGGATTATTTTGGGGGCAAAAGTTGATATCAT